CTGCCACCTTAATTAAAAAGTGCTATCACTCAGAGTGAGGAAATAAGAGGGGAGAGTGGGCCACGCTCAGCCGGACCGGACCAAAAAAAGAGGAGCAGGAAGTAGACTTGGGAATCACGTCGACTGTTTCATTCACCAACATAATGTAGGGTTGGAGAATGAGGATCTAGGTTGTTATGGCTGTGTATGGTTCTTCCACATGCTACTGAGGCCCCCCGTTTGATAATTGAATAAATTGTTACAAGGCTAATATGTCTTGTTTTCTTCAGGTTTCAATCATCCAATCCAAAAAAACAACCTCAAACAAGTCAATGGAGAAGAACTAATAGTATGATCTGGCATTTTTAGCCCCACTGACCACCTAAAGGACCTGCTCAGGTGGGTTGTTCGTTCCAGAAGGGCCACCACAACCACATTGACTGAATTGCTACAAACGCTGGTTGAAGACTGGGATGGCATCCTACATCAGTATGTGACCAGCATGAGGAGGCTGTTGTGGCTGTGTATGGTTCTTCCACTTTTCTCAGGCCCCCTGCTTGGTAATAGAATAAATTGCAAAATTGCCAAAATATTTAGTTTTCTTCAGACTTTAGTCATCCAAGCTAATAAACACCACCGAACAAGAGTCAATATCTGTTCGGCATTGGTAAAAAATAATATTTGGCAAGTATTCATGAGCACAGCAAGTGCCGTAAATTCTGCTGCTTGACCCACAAATACATTTTCCTAACAAACGTGGAACTACTTAGGGGAAAATACACAAAAGTACATGATTTATTGCCAAAAAGCATTGCTCAACTAAGAAGAAATTACCCTAACTTTTGATGCCAAGTTTATAAAGAAAGCTGTTTTTACCAATGAAACAATAACAAGCGGCTATCAGGGCACTAACGATCCATTGTTAGGCTGATGGTCCTCCTTTACCGTGTGAACAGCTAGTTCTGGATGTCAACAACAAACTGGTTGATCCACTAGAGAAGGTGTTATTTATAAGACTGTGCTTATTGCAGCTCCTCAGACTGAAGAAGTCCTTTGGATTAAAGACGAAACATTTCAACATTTTTTTTATTTAATCCATCCAGAGGACCTACCTGACTTCACTGTTCTACCTGGATTATTGAGCATGCATCAGGATATTGCTACTAATTATATAACTGAGCCTTGGGTTGGTTTTTTATTCTTCTTCTGCCTTAATAATCAAAAGAGGAATCCAATAAATAAATTAAGTCTTTGTTTTTAATGTTTTGAGACTTTAACCACTGAGAACGTAGAAAAGTGTTTTTGGTGAGCTCAGTGTTGAACTCATAAAACAAGGGTGGTGTTATTTACTGTATGAAAAATAAAAATACTTTTTTTTTAGAAACCTTTAAAAGACAAAAACTACTAAACAGAGTGCTAAGAAAACATTTTACAAAATGTAAAAAAAACGTACTTATAAGAAATGTGTTTTTTTGTTGTGTTTTAAGGAATAAAATTGTTTGGTGCGTTTCCCGTCTCGTTCCGTCAAACATCAGATCCTCGTTCTGATGTTGGGTTTTGTCCAACGTTGCTGTTCTTTGCACCTCGGGGCCTCCGTGAAGGAGGAAAAAACAAGACGGAAAAAATAACTACGAACAAGTCCTGAGGTAACGCTACGATATACAGTCAAAAGCAGCGTGTTGGAAAATGGATAAAATGCTGGATAATAAAGTTGCATCGAAGCAAGTCGTCGTTTTGAATTCAATGACTAATAAATTAAATTAAAAGGAAATTTGCAGTAAGCAGTCCTTCAGAAACAACAGCTTTCTGTTAAACAGTGAGTTTAAAGGAACTTTAAGGAGCCAACAAAAGCCACATGAGCAGCAGATAAAAACTCCAAATCCTTTTTCACCTCCCTGCGTCTCCTCTTTCCTGCCCCTCCCTCCCTAACAGGATAAGAGGCTCATGCTAATCGGCTAAATGCACAAAGATAGCCGGCCTGATCAATGCACCGATGGATCAATGGAGTGAACAGATGCAGAAGGGTTGATACCTGCAGTGGTTCCCAACAGTGGTCCTTGAGGAACACCATCCTGCATGTTTTAGTCGTTTCTCTGCTCCAACACACCTGATTCAATGATTTAATTACGTCAAGTTCGGCAGAAGGCCTTCTAATCACCCAATCAATCAAATCAGGTGTGTAGGATGGTGTTCCTCAAGGACCATGGTTGGGAACCCCTGGACTATGACATCATGATCCCACATTTGTTTTGAAATTCTTCAACCCTGCTTTCAAATCATCCTTAAATTACATTTAAAAACACTAAGTGCCCCCCACCCCCAGAAGGTCTAAACCGGTCCCTGAGCTCCAGTTAAGACTCTACCCCAGGGCTTTTCAACTGATGGCCCGGGGACCAAATCAGACCCACGGGTGTGCTCAGTTCGACCCACCAATGGGTTCGTTTTTAAATAAAACATGATTTTAAATCGTAAAACAACCTTAATGGGAATAACTACTGGATGTCTGACCCCAGAGCTCTTGGCTTTCAGTAACTGTGACCCCCTCCCCCCAAGCTATTTAGTTGAATAGCTCTGCTCTATCCAATGTGATGAATGAAACAAGACTGAAAGATTGTGTTGTTTTATTTACGGGGGGGGGGGGGGGGGGGGGGGGTGTCACCCTGCATTGGGCGGCCCATTTCAGGACTACTTGCTGACACCTGAGACTCTCGTACCCAACTGGTGCGGAACTGAAGGCTCTGCTCGTCTTTGGCTATGAATGCCAATAGGTGACCTTGTTTTGGCAGCCGACGCCTCTGAGGCCACTCGGGATCAAAAGGCAGACGTAACGCAAAAGGATTGACGGATGGACGTCCGCTGGAGATGAAAGGGCGAAGGAGCCGAGGGAGGGAACGGGGAACATCAAGAAAAAAGTAAAAAACGAGGAAGTTTGCTCACCACGGAGCTAAAAGTTGGATTGAATTATCAGAACTCTGGAAGACATGGACGCCACAGAGGATGCTCAACCACCCACTGCTCAACGGCCTGAATACGAATCCTTATGACAGCTGGAAACTAATACACATGTCGCCAAGTCCAAGTGTTGCGATACAGTTCGAGTCGAGTGTTCGGATAGACGGAGGCACCGAAATGTCGTGTGTCGTTCTCGGCTCCAAGCGGACGATGGTGGTTAGTCACTATTTAAAAAAAAAGACTCGACAGCAAACGTCCACCAGAACCCTCGGGCTTTTGCTCCAAACTTTTATTTGTATTTATTTTAAATAACCTCTTCGGTTGTTGCTTCTCTGCTTCGGCTCATCAAAAGCAGAAACTTCTGACGCAACTCCCAACTTTTACGAGCAGACTATCTGCGAGTGCAGAGCTGTGATTTCACCCCACATTAGCCGTGCCACTAGAAGACAGCGTCGCCTTGTAGCCCCTTAATGCGATCCGTTCCCCGGGTCCGTTTCAAGTCCACGACCCCTGCACGCCTTTGATGTTGCCCTTTCCTCTCGCACTTTGATGCACGATCCTCCCGAGTCGTGTTGCTTTTGTGCTTTCCCTGCTTCGCAGCCGCCGTCTCCTTCTGGCACGCTCTTGCATCCCCTCGCTCTGTCCGGCGCTCTTCTCTTCTCTCCCCCTCCGGCGTCTGATGTGGCTCTTGAGGGGAGCGGCATGTGCTGCAGTGTCTTGGCAGGACATGGAGAGAGAGTTCGGAGCTTCTCGCTGCCAAGAGGCTCACATCTGCCTCCGATCAGGGAGCACGAGCAGCCAACACTTGCACTCAGAACTCTTTAAGTCAGCTAAAAAAAAAAAAAAAACAGGAGCATGTGCAAACAGGAAGGGGAGATGAAATGCACGCCAGGCGGTGGTGTTAAGGCCTGAACAGTCATCGTGGGATCATGAACCCCTCTGAAATCCTCCCACTCCCCGTGAAAAACCGAGAAGCTCTTCAGTGGTGTAGTCTAAATTTTTGTACTGGGTATACTGCGCTTAGAAACCAAAGTATACAGCTTAGTGCAATGTAATCGTCAATTTATTTGGATTTTTAAGTGTATTGAACATTTCCAAATTTCTCTGATGCTTAAGATTTGAATTAAACTTTGTACAACAGTTGGCTTTGTATAAAAAAACATGTAGAATTTATAAAACGTATCAAAGCACAGCGTTGTGTACTGATAGACTGCTACAGAAGCATTTAACGTATCAATGACACATACATAATGATACGACATGCACCATTGGGCACTTTAAGTGAGTATACTGAAATTCTTAAGATTTTCTAGTGGGTATACTCAGTATACCTGGGTACGGCGTAGACTACACTGTCTGCAGCCAAACGTGGAAAAAGTTAGAAACTAAAACCATGTGGAGGATACACAAATAGCCCGTTTCCTTCTTGGAGCAGACAGCTATGGATGGGTGCGTCATCGCTTCTCAGCCTGGAAGAACAGCTTCAGGTCTCCCAAATCAGAATATTTGGCTCATTTGAGAAGATCAGCTTGGCTGTTTGGAGCTTAGCTGCCCATCCTGAACCAGAGGGGTCAATCTGACCCGAAAATCTGCCTGATTACTCTTTTTTATTGTCACCGAGTCTCTGCCTGGAGCTGGTTTGGGTTTTTTCTGCTGCTCAGAACAGAGAGCAATCATGGACAGTGATGGCATTAAGTCAAATCCTGAGCTGGTTGGAGACAGAGAAGTGGGACATTATTTGGTATTTTGAGCTCATTTCGCATCTAAAACCTGGATTTGTTTATCACTGATGAACAATTAGGACAAATGAATGGAAACGCAGGAAGTGGCTGTCATTTCCTAATACTTCCCGTTTATAATCGGGGCAGGAGGCTTCAGATTTCCTCCACCAAACAATCCGAGTCAATCAGTTTGGATCCAATTAAGAACAGACTATAAACAGTCGATTGACGCAATTTGGAGGAAACGCGCGTTTGGATGAACTCAAATACTCAGTTGAATTCTTCAAACTGGATTTAAAACTGTGCTTTTAAAATAATAATCTGCCGTTTTGGTTCCAGCAAACTCACCGTTTTCTCCTCCGACCCTCAGACACACAAATAATAAAAATCCAACCAGAGGCGACGCAAAATCCATCCTGGACCCGGGGAGGACTTGAGGACAGTTTTTAGTTTCCTTCACGACAAAATCCACGCGAGGAGTGAAAAGTGAGGCGGTTCAGAGGAGACCCCCGCGCGAGGGAACTGTGCGCGTCCGCATGCCATCAAAAACCAAAACCAGTTTCCATTCGTTTGGAGCGCAAACTTCCAGCGCGCACGATGCTCGGATCTCCTGCACGAGCTGAAGTCCGGGAGAATGCGCCGCGCACCTCCTTCAGTTGTTGCTCCTCCAACAGCGTGAGCTCCGTGCGTCCTGCGCTCCGTGTGCGTCCAGAGCGCGTGTGTTTGCTCTTTTGAGCAGAGCAGATATCGCGTTACAGTCGCTGCGCCTAAGCTCCGCCCACCTCCCTCCCTTCTGTCTCTCGCCCCCCCTCCCAAACATCCAGCCCCCTCCTCCAAAGAAGAAAGATGCCACAGATATCAGCTCCTCACAGATAAGGCTCAGATAAAACACATGGTCACGGTGAGGCTGCTCTCCCGGGGCTGTTTTAGAGGAATATCAGAGAGAAAGGGGTGCTGGTTATAGTCCCCCCCCCCCCCCCCCACACACACACACACACCTTAAACACATCAAACAACCCAAATCCCACGAGGAGGGCCCACCTCAGCTCTGCCCTGCAATCAGCAGGTCTAAATAAAGATGTGGGGGCTGTAATGACACAGTAGTGAACTCAAAATAATCTGCTGAGAAAGGCCTCTCCAGCGTCCAGCCATGTGCCGTGCCCCCCCCCCCCCCCCGTTTGTTTTGAAGTGAGGTTTTGTGGAACAGTAAATATCTCACCTGTTGTAGATTGCTCTTTGAACAACCTCAGTTGGTAAAAAAAAAAGTTTAATTCTGACCGGACCGATGAGCAGCTAACCTGAGCGACGTCAGGACTGAACTTGGTGTCTGATGTTTTAGTGTCATGTCATTTTATTTATTATTAATTCATTTTACCTTTATTTAACCAGCAAATCCCACTGAGATCACAGATCTCTGCTGCAAAGGAGGCCTGGGCCTGAAGGCAGCCTGAAGGCATGTTTCTGGACTGTGGGACGAAACTGAAGTACTTCAAGAAAACTCACAAGGAGAAACTCCACACCAAGACTCAGTCCAAACCAGGGATTGAACCCGGGACCTTCTTGCTGTGAGGCAACAGTGCTAACCACGAAGCTGCTCTGCTACCATTGTGCCATTTGCCTTGTTAGGTTTACAGGACCACACTGCTAACAGGACCATGCTGCTAACAGAACCCCATTGCCAACAGCACCACAATGCTAACAGGACCATGCTGCCAACAGAACCAGATTGCCAACAGGACCACACTGCTCACAAGACCATGCTGTCAACAGAACCAGATTGCTAATAGGACCACACTGCTAACAGGAACATGTTACTAAAAGAACCACATTGCTATCAGGACCACACTGCTAACAGGACCATGCTGCCAACAGAACCAGATTGCTAATAGGACC